CCAAAACCAGGTGAACGACCTAAATAGACCTGTTAGTCGCGAAGAACTAGAAACCGTTATCAAAAATCTCCCTTCCAAAAAAAGCCCAGGACCAGATGGTTTCAATGCAGAATTCTACCAGAACTTCCAAGAAGAGCTAATACCTATACTCCTTAATGTATTTCACAATATAGAAACAGAAGAGTCATTGCTAAATTCCTTTTATGAAGCTACAGTTACCCTGATACCAAAACCACACAAAGACCCAACCAAGAAAGAAAATTACAGGCCTATCTCACTCATGAATATCGACGCAAAAATTCTCAATAAAATACTGGCAAACCGAATCCAAGAACACATTAGAAAAATTATCTATTATGATCAAGTAGGCTTCATCCCAGAGATGCAGGGCTGGTTCAACATACGCAAATCTATCAATGTAATCCACTATATAAATAAACTGAAATAAAAAAACCATATTATCATTTCATTAGATGCTGAAAAAGCATTTGACAAAATTCAACACCCCTTTATGATAAAAGTCTTGGAGAGATTAGGGATACAAGGGTCATACCTAAATATAATAAAAGCTATTTACAGCAAGCCGTCAGCTAACATTAAATTAAATGGAGAAAAACTCAAAGCCATCCCACTAAAATCAGGAACACGACAAGGATGTCCACTCTCTCCATACCTCTTCAATATAGTGCTTGAAGTTCTAGCAATAGCAATAAGACAACATAAGGGGATCAAGGGGATTCGTATCGGAAAAGAAGAAGTTAAGCTCTCGTTATTTGCAGATGATATAATAGTATACATAAGCGACCCCAAAAACTCTACCAAAGAACTCCTACAGCTGATAAACACCTTTAGTAATGTGGCAGGATACAAGATCAACTCCAAAAAATCAGTGGCCTTCCTATACACTAAGGATAAGGAAACAGAGAGGGAAATTAGAGAAGCATCACCTTTCACGATAGCCACAAATAGCATAAAATATCTTGGGGTAACTCTGACCAAGGATGTGAAAGATCTATTTGACAAGAACTTTAAGTCTTTGAAGAAAGAAATTGAAGAGGACACCAGAAAATGGAAAGATCTTCCTTGCTCCTGGATTGGGAGGATCAACATAGTAAAAATGGCAGTTCTACCAAAAGCAATCTATAGATTCAATGCAATCCCCATCAAGATCCCATCAAAATTCTTCACAGATCTGGAGAAGACAATAATCAACTTTATATGGAAAAACAAAAAACCCAGGATAGCCAAAACAATCTTATACAACAAAGGAGCGTCTGGAGGCATTACCATCCCTGACTTCAAACTCTACTACAGAGCTACAGTATTGAAAACAGCTTGGTATTGGCATAAAAACAGAGAAGTCGACCAATGGAATCGAATAGAAGACCCTGACATTAACCCACAAACCTATGAACACCTGATTTTTGATAAAGGAGCTAAAAGTATAAAATGGAAAAAAGAGAGCATCTTCAACAAATTGTGCTGGCAAAACTGGATGTCAACCTGTAGAAGAATGAAAATAGATCCATATCTATCACCATGCACAAAACTCAAGTCCAAATGGATTAAAGACCTCAATATCAGTCTGAACACACTAAACCTGATAGAAGAGAAAGTGGGAAGTACTCTACAACACATGGGCACAGGAGACCACTTCTTACATAGAACCCCAGCAGCACAGACATTAAGGACCTCATTGAATAAATGGGACCTCCTGAGACTGAGAAGCTTCTGTAAAGCAAAGGACACTGTCGCTAAGACACAAAGGCAACCCACTAACTGGGAGAAGATCTTCACCAACCCCGCAACTGACAAAGGTCTGATCTCCAAAATATATAAAGAACTCAAGAAACTAGACTGTAAAAGGCTAACCAACCCAATTATAAAATGGGGCATTGAGCTGAACAAAGAATTCTCAACAGAAGAACTTCAAATGGCCAAAAGACACTTAAGGTCATGCTCAACTTCCTTAGCGATCAGGGAAATGCAAATCAAGACAACTTTAAGATACCATCTTACACCTGTCAGAATGGCTAAAATAAAAAAACACCAATGATAGCCTTTGCTGGAGAGGTTGTGGAGAAAGGGGTATACTCATCCGCTGGTGGGAATGCAAACTTGTGCAACCACTTTGGAAAGCAGTGTGGCGGTTTCTCAGGAAATTTGGGATCAACTTACCCCTGGACCCCGCAATACCACTCTTGGGAATATATCCAAGAGAGGCCTTATCATACAACAAAAGTATATGCTCTACTATGTTCATAGCAGCATTGTTTGTCATAGCCAGAACCTGGAAACAACCTAGATGCCCTTCAATGGAAGAATGGATGAAGAAAGTATGGAATATATACATATTAGAGTATTATTCAGCAGTAAGAAACAAGGATTTCTTGAATTTTGCATACAAATGGATGGAAATAGAAAACACTATCCTGAGTGAGGTAAGCCATACCCAAAAAGAGGAACATGGGATGTACTCACTCATATTTGGTTTCTAGCCATAAACCAAGGACATTGAGCCTATAATTAGTGATCCTAGAGAAACTAAATAAGGAGAACCCAAAGAAAAACATATAGGCATCCTCCTGAATATTAACCTTCAGCAAGCGATGAAAGGAGACAGAGACAGAGACCCACATTGGAGCACAGGACTGAATTCTCAAGGTCCAAATCAGGAGCAGAAGGAGAGAGAGCACGAGCAAGGAACTCAGGACCATGAGGGGTGCACCCACACACTGAGACAATGGGGATGTTCTACTGGGAACTCACCAAGACCAGCTGGCCTGGGTCTGGAAAAGCCTGGGATAAAACCGGACTCTCTGAACATAACGGACAATGAGGACTACTGAGAACTCAAGAACAATGGCACTGGGTTTCTGATCCTACTGCACGTACTGGCTTTGTGGGAGCCTAGGCAGTTTGGATGCTCAGCTTACTAGACCTGGATGGAGGTGGGGGGTTCCTTGGACTTCCCACAGGACAGGGAACCCTGATTGCTTTTCGGGCTGAGGGGGGGGGGGGACTTAATCGGGGGAGGGGGAGGGAAATGGGAGGCGGTGGCTGGGAAGAGACAGAAATCTTTAATAAATAAATAAATTTTAAAAAAAAGAAACCAAAAGTAGAACTTCCTTCTTTGGTGTTGATTTGGACCTCAAGGAAGAAGATGTCAAAGGAGGGGCTTGATGTTAAGACCAATGAGGGAAGCTTCCCCCAGTCAGCTGACTTCCTGATGGAGAGTTTCACATTAATAATCTCATCACCTCCCTTAATCACTGAAATTTTAAAGATGACTTCAAAGCAAAAAATATTTGTTCACGGTTCTGTGGCTGACATGAGCTTAGTTGAGAACACAAATATGCTTCTGAAGGCAATATTGTTTGGAACATTTGCCACGGGAACCAAGGGACAAAAGGAGTTAACGCTTCTGCTGCCCTTACCCTGGGCACAGACATAGGTTTGATGTGAAAGCACCAGTGCCAAGAAGTCAAGGCCCAAAGCACAAGCCCATACTTCACATTGAAAACAAAGTGGAGACGGCCTTGCTGCACACCAGGCCAGCGCTGATTTTGAAACCCTAGAATAAGAGGTATGAAAAATCCCAACAACACTGACTAACAGTGAAAGTACAAAAAACTTACTTTTTTTCACTCTGACTTTGGTGTCCATCTTAACCAAGCAGAATTAATTCACAGCCCAGGAGCTCGGCGAGCTGATGTTTATTTATAATATTCAATATTCCCATAAGCACACATGTTCCAAATGGAAGGTTGCATTTTGATAATGCCCGTTTCTTCATTAAGATTTCATCATCCACCTGGCCCTACACTTTGTTGCTTCGGCTTTCACCTTGTGTATTCCTGCTTTATTTGCTTAATCTCAAGTTCCCCACTTCCCAGGCACTCAAATTTGAAACAAGCAAAGTTCATGCATTAGTGTATCCTGAGCATGCATGATTTATGAATGGCCAAGTTCTTGGCACAATTTAACGGTATAAGGGAGACTTTGTTTTAAACATGAAACTGAAAGTTAAGAAGTAGCCACAATGGGTGAAATATCAGAACACAGGCTGCAAAGAGGTCCAAAGGAACAAGATTCTTTAGTTCTTAGTTGTTCTTCAGTGTGTGAATGGATGTTCTAACCAATTTTTAAAAAAACCATATAAGCATCTAACATCTGACCAATTTAAAAAGTACTTTAAATTGTTATTCTGAGGACTTACCCAGACAAACCTTCATTCTGTAATAAAACAAAAATATCCTTACATTTATATAAATAAGGATTGTCAACTGCTTTAAGTATCCCAAAGTAAATAGTTGGATTTTTCTTTCTTTCTTTTCTTTCTTTTTTTGGTACCAGACATTATATTCTTATTCAGAACATTTCTCACGATAATTATTCTTTCTCTAACAACAACCAGTGTTGTTCTTATCAAGATTTTTAAGAATAGCTAAAAATTTCAAATTCTAAAGAAAAACTTCTCCCTTCTACCAGGTCTTGCTTCTACCAAAAAGCTGAAATAATACAGTCTGTGTTTTAATACTTACATCTAAAGCCTAAGTAGTGGCAAAATAATCATTAAATTAATAATGCCATATGACATTTTGTATTTGTGGTGTCCCAACCACTTAGCTCAGATACAAGGAACACCCAACCTTTTCTTGCATGTGGCCAAATTGAATACCTTGCCAGATTATAAGCTGTGTCTTCAAATAACAATGCTACAGTTTCACATTTAAATGACGGTGTGCCCCGTCATGATTGCTTTTAAGTACCGGAGGACCTGAAAAGTTGCTGTTCATGAGAGGAAATGAAGGTTGATAAAATCACAGCTTAAGTAAGCTCAGCGTTCATAAACAGCTGTAAATATTGCTTTCCGCAGAGGCCTTTCAGGCCCTTTATGATAGAAACATCTCTATGCTGCACTCTCCCTTCAGGGGACTTTCTGTCCATTTCAGAGAAGAACGAGTGTAACACTGCACAGCACCTGGGCATGATGTTACCTTGGAGATTTTGCAATGGCAGAGTCATGATGCCTCCAGCTGCAGCTGCTGCTACCAGCCCTTGGATGTTTGTGAGATTCGCTGTGGGCAGCGTGAGGACCAGGCCTTGCTGACCACCTAGTTGTCCTGCCATGTTGAAGGGGATGAGGATGGGCTGGTTGAGGGCTGGGGGGCCTCCCGGCATCACCCCGGCCACAGCAGAGGCAAGCTGCTGTGCTGTCAGAAGAGGCTGCAAAACAGGAGAAACCTGGCTCACTTTCCAGCAGAACAACACATGGTTTTTAAAGTACGGTGCCTCCATTATATCTAATCAGAAGGTTTCTCAAGCAGCAAAGAAGCATACTCCATCCCAGAAAAAAAGACTGGGAGGAGGAAAGAATAGTTTGACATTATGTTTCATTTATACCTTTGAAAATTTTCAAAGTTTTAACAGCCTCCGTGATGCTTAAACACCTTTTGAAGAAACACCATGTCTTTACATACTGCAAATTCAACTGAGTTTTCATTTGATCCCAATTCTCATATATTTATTGCGCTCAGCTAATTTTTTCTATGTTGTTACAGAAAGAATTCACTGATTTTGGTAGGGGTTTTATTCTATTTTTGGTTCAAAAATAGTAATAACACACTGGTTTCAAGTATTACATTAACAAAAATAGTGTCAAAGATTTTCTGGATGCTAGGAGGTCTTTAGTAATGCTGTCACACACATCTGTGGCTGGAGGGCCTGATTGCGGGCATAATCCTTCGGAAAGCAATTTGGAAACACATACATCTCAAGAGCGGCAAATATATTCATCCTTATTTGTCTCAGAATATACTCTTAGGATAGAGTTTCAAGATAGAATTCAAGTGGAAAAGAGATAAATGTATGAAATTATGCAATATATTTCAACTTACATAAATGGTGAAGCTGTTCATATTATAGTGCTAAGCCCGGAGAGGTGCTGTGTATTCATTAATATGGATCATTTTGGCATCTATTTCGGAAACTTAAAAATATGTTCCTGATATGAAAAGAAATTGAATAGTTTCTAAACAGACAAGTGGTTACTATTGAGATGGTAATATGTGTGTTGTGTGTGTATATATACATATATATGTGTGTGAGTGAGATGTCAAGACATAAAACGTAATAGAAAACCAAATACTTATACTCGAAGATACAATACTAAATTTTTTTCTGTTAATTCTTTCATATTCTTCACCCAATTAAGATGTTATTATTAAAACACATGTTTATGTCCACTCTTGATTGAATAATCATGGTTTGGTGTAAAAGGCAGCATTAGAGCAGAAAACTTGTTTAAGTGCTGGGGTGGGGTTCTCACTGGAGTTCTATACTAAGATTGTGATTCTTGCCAGGCTAAATGGCAGCGTAAGTCATTTAATCTTAGGGTCTTTAATCCAGGATTTTCTCTACACCCTTTTGAGAGTTGTGGAGTTAAACATAATCCCACATTTTTTCTCTACATGATTAAATATTAAACTCTATCTAGGATTGACTTTCTTTTTGATGAAACATAAAAAAGGTATTTAAATATGTACATGATATAAAGGCAGATTATAATCACCAGACCCTACATTCCAATTATCCTACCAATGAGACTCAGAGAGTTTCATAACTTCCTGGAAGTTCCCTGTCTCATGCATGGAGAGGTCAAGTTTAAGACCAGATAGACTGTTCCAGAGTCTACACAAGGGACAGAGTCAGAGAAAGGGGGCTGTTTCATTTGAAGAATGGAGGTAAGAGTGGGCTGTCTCTCTAGAGTACCATCTCAATTTTTCAAAAGAAGCTCTTGAGAGGTACTGGGTTCCCAATGTATTTGCTCACTTTATTGAATTTATAGTAATAACTTTGTTCCCTCCTTTAAAATACACAAAGTTACTTGGCAGAAAAAAAATCATCAGACTTAGGGAATAATAATGAAATTGTAGCTTGGTTCTAAGGTTCCTAGGGGTAAGATATTGTGGCCGACCAGTGCAAAGCTTCAAGGGAAACATGGAGTATCTCTCAGACTGTCCACAGGTTTGGAGACTTGACATGTAAAATTTTAAGACTGGATTTTGGGCTTTTAGTATAGGGTGTACCTGCTCCAGGTTATCACAGAGCTATGCTTCTTCACTGTCTTGAGTTCGTCATTCTAATTACCTAACTTAGAGTGTTAGACCAGTTTGGAGCTCATGGGCTTCTAGGAACATCTGTGAACACACATGTACAGGACTTACACGTATGAACTTATGAGGTAAGAAGAATGTCACTATGAGGGTATGACACATAGAAGCCAATGACTCATGTCTATGACCTCTATCTAGGTTTTGGTCTCCCAAACAGACACTGCCCAGTCTTCCTGTCTGGAGCTGTGTGGGCTCTGAGATGGGTGATAGGATCGGAGGCCACTGGAAGATTTCATGGCAACTAGAGTAAGAGTGACGTAATTGAGTCAAGCTTTACACTTGGGCAAGCCCTCCTTATACTGAACGTGATTAATTTCCTGGGACAACAATGGCAGCAATGGGGAGAGAAAGGCACAGGCATTTCTCTCCCTAAAAGCAAGATGAACTCTGAAAGTTTCACAGTAGATGGCAGAGGTTAAAGAAAGCCCAGCTTTTTATAATTGTGTTCTACATCTCCATATAACCCACGCCAGGCTGCAAAAAACAAATATTGGACTTTAAAAAATAATGAATGTATTTCTTTATTAATGCAAGAGCTATGTGTGATGTACAGTATTGTCAAACCCAATAAGCTGAACTTGCATTAAAATTGCATTAACTTTTTTATATTAAATCACATCTTGTATTTCAAAAATGGCTATAGTAAGGTTGAAATAACTTAATTTTCTTCACACTCCAGTCATTAAAGTTTTACTTTAAAAAAAAACTGCATGGTAACCAACAGCCTAGATATAGTAGGTTTTAAAGGAAAAAAAAAACATTTCCACATGATTAAAACCAACCTTTCCTTTAAGAAGAGACTTTTACAAACACATATTTTCTTGAGAGTATTTAATAAGTAATGTAGTCATATAGCTTTTCATACAAAAATTTATCACCATCTTTGCTCTGTTGGAGTTAATTGGATTTAACTCATTATTATTTATTTGGCTATTTATATGGTGAAACCATCCTAAATGGAGCCTAATGGAAAGCAGTTGAGAGATACTGACCTGCGGCCCAACTGGAAATGGGGGGTGGGTCTGACTGGCCTGGTGCTGGTCAGGAGTTCCTGGGTCTGATAGTACTGTGTTTCCTCTGGCCCCTAGAATTCAAGAGAAAAGCTTCCTTAGTATTAACAGCAGCCTGGGAACAGTATATTTCTGAGATATCACCGAATACTGAGGAATAGATGCTTATAAAAGAGTGGTTTTTCAGTAGTTCTAGTTAGGGCAAAAATGATGCTATAGTACATTCAGGATGGCCAAAGTCATCAGGAGATAGAAAAGAAAGAAAGACAATAGGGAAAGGTATTCTTTTATATATATGCCAAAAGACTTACATTAGATATCGGTTTGGAAAGCAGACTCTAGTTCACTGTGTGTATGTGCACATGTTTTGGGGCATGTGTGTGAATGTGTCTGTTATGCTTAAATGAATAATAGATAAGTCAGTTGTTCAAAGCCAAAGTACAGTCTCAGATATGACCATCTCTCTTATATTGTTCCCTGGTAGAGATTCTTCCCTCTGTTCTGTTCCCTTAGGCCATCTCTTCAAGCTGGCCTTGGATGGACTCCTATGAACCACAGCCCTTTCTAATGCTCCCTTCCTCAATGTCCTAAAAGGAATATGAGTCCCGTTAGGCGAGTTTTCTGGGTGCGGAGCAAAAGAGAAATGTCTCGCATCAATCACAGAGACCCGCTACGGTAGGCACTGAACTAGCTGTATTCCTGTGCTGAGATCCTGCTGCATTTCAAGCGCCCTGACAGCAAATCTCTAAAGCCTTTGGGCATTGTCTGCATGTATTTGCGCTTCATTTTCGGACAAACCGAAGTGGTTCAGATAATGGTAGAAACAATAAATACTTGAGTAAAAAAACAAGATAAATACTTGAATAAAAATAAACAAAACTGCCATTTCTGAAAGTGTCCCTGTTGGGGGCTTTTGTTTTCTTGGAGTTTTCTATTGGGGTGGTTGAAATCCAGTTCTAAGCAAACCTTAACAAGATCTACTTTCCTGGTGTTTGTCCTATGAATAGCAAGTGAAAGACATTTCAGGCACTGTTTACTGGCATGCTGAGGCCAACCAATGAAAAAAGATATGATTCTGTCATGCTTATAAATTTTAAAGAAGGTATTATTGGCTCATTTAAAACAAATTCTTCTATATCGTCTCCAAAGGGACAGACTTATAAATAATGGAAATGTGGAAAAAATACTTCAGCACATTAAGCTACAAATAAAATTGACTGCTACATATTATTCAATTGACTTCTATTTCCACAGCGATGTGTCAATCATAACAGCATTTTATAATAGGATTAAGCAATAAACGTGCAAAGCCATTATGCAGAAATCTGAAAATCTGATTAATTTGTAATATTTTTTTGTGCAGAAAGTCAGGAATGGACATTGCTTAGGGAATACTTACAAGCAGTCTATTGAAATTTCTAAATTGATTTGGAACAAACTAATAAAAACACAGACTTGTTGACATTTTATAAACCAAATTCTGTCGAGATATGTTTGGCATTTTAATGATCACTGTCATTTAATAACAAGAATAAGATGATCCATCAGAAGATACCAGCAATCCCCATATATACAAAGGAGCTTTCCCCTGAATTTTTTATGTGTAGTTTCTTTATTATGCTTGAAAACCAGGGCATGTTAAGCTAGGCAGCATCTTATATAGTATAATCTCATGGTCTCCATTCAGCCCCCAAATAATGCTTTTGATCAAATATTAAGATTAGGCTAATTTGCAAATGACTAAGAATTCACTGCTTAGAAAAAATGTGGTTGCTTCCTTCAGCTTCTCAGGCCTGGATTTTTATGCCAGAAAAGAAAGTTTTACAATGTACAGAAAAATCTAAAAGTCCCTTTTTAAACAATTAAATATACACTTGATATCAGAATTTTCTACAGCAAGATAGGCCCCTTTGCATCATATTTTCTTCATGTGTTCAGAGTCTATTTTTGACTCTGTTCTTAACACATCCCACTGTAAGGCTGAGGACTGGTCCCATGCAGGCACTGTGCCAACAGTAGTGTATGTTTATTCTCTACAATTCCATACAGATTACATTTGCTTATATTTATTCTTTGGTGCTCTGAGGCCCTAACTGGTGCTCAGCAACTTGTTCTGAGAGTGGCTATGCTCAAAAACCATGTTCAACGCAGTCTGGGGCAATTCCACACAATTTCATGTGTAAAATGAAGTCTTTCACAGGCTCTAGAGGAGATTATGTATGCTTTCCCGCCTGGATCAAAAAGTAATGTTTCCTCTTAACGTGCATCTCTATTTTCCCCAAACACATGTATCGTGCTTAACCTTGTAGGGCCAGAAAGTAATCTGCTTGCTTGGAAGGCAGTTCCTGTACAGGGGCCTTGCTGGAGCCAGAGGGGAATCCAGCAGTCAGAATGAATAAAAGGCTTTGGCTAAAGGTTTTAGAGATTTGAAGCAGCACTTACTGTATGATAGCAAAGAATTTGAGGTTAGGCATTTCCATGGCAAAGATAAGGAAACATAAATATTATAGTTGACCAGGAGCCTGGAAAACATAGTACACCATTGGAGCCCTCCGATTTCAACTGTGTGGTGAATGGCATGTGCTTTAAAACCTTTATGTTTTTGTCAGCAACTAGTACATGTAGAAAAAATGCTGTGTGATGTTTTTCTAAAAATGTAACACGGTTTGATCATATTCACCGTGAGTCACTTCCTTTTCTTCCATCCCATCCTCTTATGCCTTCATCCTTTTTGCTCATGGTCCCCTTTGACTGTGAGCTCTCAGGCCAGGACATTTCATTCACACTTAGTGACTACAAGTAGAGGTTCGGCTTAAGATACACATTGACACTCATTTGATTACTTCCTTCTGTTTAGCATAAATCTTGGAAATATCTTTAAATTATGAATTTATTGACAAACTCTATCTCAATCCCAAATGACAGATTGCTACGACATGGATGTAGAAGGTCCCTACAGCCGTGTGTTAAAAGCCTTACTGCTAGCTTGTGATACGATGAGGGAGTGATAGAACTTTAGGTAGGATGGACTAGCAGCAGAACCACAGTGGGCATGCTTTTGAAAAGAACAGTGAGATGCTGGTCCCTTCCTCATGCTTTCTTTGCTATCTGGCCACCATAACTCTGGTATCCAAGGGGTCCTATCCATCATATGCTGCCTTTCTGTGGCCTCAAACAGACCATTGACCGAAGGGCTCTTCCCTGTCAGGCACTACGCCACAGTCACAGAAAGCTGACTGGAGCAGATATAGGAAGTCGTTTGGTAAAAAATACTAGAGGCAAGGTTTCTTACATCTTAACCTTGGCCACGTTTACATTTAGATCTGCCACCTCACTAGGAACGTGGACTTGGAATTGTCTTCAAATTGCTTATTCATCAGCTTTCTCTTATGAAAGTCAGGAATAACTTCCTTCACAAGCTGCCTGCTGTGAGTGCCATATGAGATAAAATACATGTAAGTTCATTGTAAACTCTGAATGCTTGCTGTATAACTACTTCATCTGTTGGTTATTGTACTTTAATAAAGTTTGTACTTAAAGTAATATTTCATACCATTCAATTTGCTTTTGATATTCACCCATCAAAGCCAACTGACACATATTCTAATCTCTATGTGTATATAGTTCAGAAATATCTTATAGATAAGCTAAGGGTACTTGGCTATGTACTGTGTACATACTTCACTATGTACTGTGTGCCGTAAGATCAATGTCAGAAATGGAGCTCCATATTTGAGTCTCTCAGAGCTTACAAAATGTGATGTTCACAATAGTCTTCCCTCAGTGTGCAGGGAGCTGTTTCTCAGACCCTGTGCATACCAAAATCTGAGGGCATTCAAGTCTTTTATCTAAATCTGCTTAACATTTGCATGTAACCTATATATCCTTTCTCATTCATTTAATTCACCTCTAAATTGCTCAGAATGCTAAATGCAATGGGCGTGGCTATGTAATTGTTATACTGTATTGTTTAAGCACTTGTGACAAGAAAAAGTCTATACATACTTAAATAAAATTGTTTCCCAAATAGTTTCAACCCACAATTGGCATTTTTTTAAATCTATAGATGAGATGCTGATGATATGGGAGTCTCTTTATAGGCTGCTAGTCCATGCTAACACACTCAGAAAACGTGGTGCCAAGAGTCTAGCAAGTAGCTTCTAAATTCTCTCATAGACCATGGCTTACACAAGTGCCGCCCCACTTAAATCTATGAATAATTATTGGAGCCTCCTGAATCATTTCACAGCCCACAGGAACCTAGGGACAGAGAGTGGAAGATGGTATTTGTAAGGGCATTTCTTAAACTTCACAAGGATCACAGACGGTGGGGGATAAATAATGGTGGCTTCACTGCTGTGCGGCAGAGTTTAAGCTTCCTTTGCCCTGGGACAACATACATGACTTGAACCATCAATGCCACTTGTGTGATTGTACACCATTGGCATCATCACCACACACCTCTCAAGTCATTATATAACACTGACTTTGTGTATAGCCCTTGGGTCGTGAGCAGCATGATTCCTCTTGCCTTCCCAGCTTCCTTGCCCTGGATGTCCTCTGATTTTAATCAGATTGAGATTGCCAGCTCAGAAAGGAGAAGAACCAAAGACACACATTCTATAATTGCCATCTGTTCACAGGTAATTCATGGAGGGGAAACCAAGTGGAAAAGGGTCTCAGTGTGGAATGTGAAATCAAGGATCTGTGTCAGAGATCCTCCTCCTTTCAAGCCCTCCTTTCCCACCAGATCTCAGATCTGTGACTCCTAATGCTGCCTGCCTGTCCCTGTTTGGAAGAAAAAGGAGAAGAAAGACACACACACACACACACACACACACACACAGAGAGAGAGATAGAGAGAGAGAGAGAGAGAGAGAGAGAGAGAGAGAGAATATGTGAATGTGTGGTGTATGTGTGTGATAGTGGGGGTCCAGCCTCCCACACTCTGCCATCTAGGTCCAGCCAAGCTCACAGTTCAGGGTGCCACTGATGGTTCTAACTGGATTCCTCACAGTAAGGTTGTTGTTTTTCAAATTCCTTTTTACTTTTTTTTTTCATTGTCACAGCTTTT